GACACCAGACTGGAAGCCCTTCTGTATACAGTGGCTTATCAGAAAGCTATCTGAAAAGGAAGACAGAGTCAAGAGAGAGGGTACATCTGGAGACCTAGTCTCTGGGTCCCTCCATCACACGATACAAATACAGATTAAGTTTGCATTGCTACTCCTTTTACACTGAGCTGGGGTTTTTTTTAATCTTTATGGTTCTTCAAGAAAGTACCATCTATGGCCCATCATGCTTTGATTTATGTTGGTTTGGTTGGCCCTGGCAGAAGATTTGGAGGAGATAAGGATAGAGTACATACTCTCCTAGAGCAGGCCTCAGATTCAGAACACTCTTCTAACCATCCCATCCTCTACACATTTCAGGCCTTGGTGCAAACTGGAAGAAAGACACCCTTGCTTTTTCATGCCTAGGTAGAACAGCCAAAAATGGTGTGTTTATCAGATGACTAAGGCCCCATTTCTTCTGCAACATACAAGCTAAGTTACACATCTTTTTTATGATGATGAGTAACTTTATTCCTAAGAGGAACACCATTTTGAAAAGGAACAGGACCTTCAATGGCAAGAGTACACAATAGAGAACACAGGGCACCTACTCTAAGTATTCATCGGGCTTCAGGGTGCCAGGCTGGGTGGCTGCAGGAGTTACAGCCCCGTGCTGGCAGGGGGCCTCAGAGAGGAAACCAGAGCAAGTGCTCACAGAGAAAGTCTGAAGATCACAGCAGGACTATCAGGAACGGGTCTGTCACCACCTCATGTTTGGGGTTTTGGTGTTTGTTCTCTCTCTCTCTCTCTTTCTCTCTCAAAAAAAAAAAAAAAAACCACAAAAATGAATACAGATACAGAACAAACAAGCAAAACCCAATAAGGCAAAAAATAAAAACTGCCATAGCAAAATGAAACAAAAAAGTCCATAAATTATGGTATTCATTTTGTGTTGGCCAACTACTCCTCAACATGGGGACTGCCCTGGATTGTGGTTGATAAAACCAGTGTGATTCTCCTGGAGAAAACTGACTTTCCATTTGCTGGCTGGTATCCACTGCAAATAACCAAGTCTTAAGCAGGCTACAGTATCCAACACTGTACCCTTTACTAGCACTCCTAATGAAGGGTCTTCATGCAAACCACAAATAGCACTGCCATGAGCACAGGTAATTCTCTACAGCTCCATTCCCATTCCTCTACCTAAGCCCTAGGGAGGGGAGAGCATAGAACAAGGCAGCAGAGGGAGGGAGGGCTAGCCCAGCCCCACTTCCACACCCACAGTACCCGATTAAATGCCTACACTACAGTCTAAGGACAGAAAGCAAATCAGAATGGATCTGAGGAAGAAAGGGGAGAAGAAATGCAGGAAAATAAAGAGAGAGTTGATGGAGACAGGCAGAAGGACAGACTTCAGGTGGGAGGAGGAGAGGGATGCAGCCTTTCCTCTGCTCAGTTTAGTTCTCTCCAAGCCTGCTCTCAACTCTGTCCAAAATGAGATGGAAAATAAAGCAGACCTGGGCAATCACAGAAAGAAAATGCAAACCCCAAGATGTAAATAAAGTTGAAATGTAGAAGAAAAACATTTTAAGTAAAAAAAAAAAAAATCTCACATTCATTAAGTAATAACACACACAAACACACACATGCACACACTTACATTCACACCTGAAACAACAACAACAAAAAAAAAACCTTAACATCCCACATATAATAAAGCACAAGTCACAATAGACAAGGTATGGAATCAACCTGTCAATCATCTGCTGAATAGATTTGTGCTGCCTCTATACCGCAAAACCCTATTAAACCATAGGAAAAGATGAGGTTTTTTTTCTTTTCATTCATAGTATATCATTGAACCTGGAGAACACTATGTTAAGTAAAATGAGCACACAGAAAGGCCAGTTCCAGGCCACCGAGATGGTTCAGGGAGGTGGCAGGTAAAGGTACTTGCCACCAAGCCCAATGACTTGAGTTTGATCCCTGGGTCCTACATGGAATGAAAAGAATTGACTCCTACTGTTGGTCCTCTGACCTCTGTGTGTCTTCACGTCCCCATACACAGACACTAAATATGTGTGACTTTAAATTTAAAAAAAAAGAGAGAAGAAAAGGCAAGTATCCTTCGATCTCACTCATTTTTAGATAAAATGGCTCATCTCATTAAATGAGAGTGTAGAATGATAATTTACCAGAAACTGGCAAGAGTGAGCGCGTCAGTGAGGTGGAGAAATATTGGTCAATGGTATAGTTAGGTAGGTAAACGAGCACTGGTGTACTTTTGCACAGTAAGGTGAGTATAGTTAGCAATATATATTATATATATTAACATGACCAGAAGAGGAATTTTGAGTGTTTTTGCTGCAAGGAAATGATAAATATTTTAGGTGACGTATAGGAAAAATTTCCTGATTTGATCTTTATACAACATATGCACATATGGGAACACCACACTCTATCCTACAAGTAAGCATGATGGGTAATCTTGTCTATTTGGCAAGATCTAGCGTCGCTATGGCGTCCTGTCCTACATTTGGTCAGCAACTTTTCCTGGCTTGAGGACCCTGAATTTTGTAAAAAGGAAAAAGCTAGCTGAACACCAGCATTTGTCGCTCTCTGCTTCCTTGCTGCGGGTGCAAAGTGATGCTCCAATTCCCACCATTATGTGTTCCCTGACCTCGATAGACTGGACCCACCAACCATGAGCCAATGTGGACCTTTCTTTCCAGACACCCTTAAGCTGCTTCAGTATTTGCTCACAGTAATGAAAAGAGTATCTAATGCCATGCCTATGTGTTTTATTTCAAAGACGCACCGGGGACACTAATCTCTGATGGGCTAGGGTCCTATGCCTTCCACCACCTCCACCATGACCCTCTCCCCTCCAATTCTTCCATGGGGAAGAATGTAAAATTCCTTTCTTTCTTACACAAAGGAAATTAACAGTAACCTAACTATGGAGGAAACCCAGTCCCTATAATTATTGACAAATAACAACAGAGGGGAATGAAAGAGAGGGAAAACACAAAGTATGGAGATCAGAGTGGACATTTGGTGACACTGTTCCTGACCCCTCTTTAGAGACACATGCGCTCCTACATGGGCCAAATAACCCTTGGCTCCCTGAGCCCAGCGAGTGCTGTAGAAAAGCCCATCAGAAAGAATAAAAGACGAGTAGGAGAGAGCATTCACACAAAGTCTTCATGCTGTTGCACTTGAATAGAAAAACGGTACAGAGAGCAGGCTGGAGAAAGCACACGGCCAAATCTGGTAACCTCAAGCCTTGCTAAATGGAATACACAGAGATTCACCACAGGGCAACTCCATAAAGCCACTCTGGATGCCATTTTGCTAATTGTGTTTGCTATGACACCAAGCACCGTTTAGCTGAGCTCCCAGACTGTCTCTGTAATGGCAGTCACTTGCCAAGAGCGAGGGAGATTTTTATTTGATATCCATACAAAGCAGCAGCAAATGAATTTCCATAATGAGAAGCAACATAATGACGTGGAGATGTACAAACTGCCATTGTGTTTAATAACAACAAAGCCTTCCCGTTTGAATTAAATTTGCAGGAAGACTCTTACTGAAGTATCATTGTACTGAAACCAAGTTGTTTGGAAAACACACACACACAAACACACACACACACACACACTCCTATGTATTTCAATTATAATAACTGGAAAGATTGGAGGGTTTTTTTTCTTTCTTCCATTTCATTCTCACTAAAATCGACTTAGCTGTAGCACTCCACAGCTGTGATTTGTGAAGTAAATGGCAAAGCTAAATGTGCCGAAACCTAACACGTTCCCCAAGCAACAAAGGGATGGAAGGCAAATGTTACAGTATTATTGACAACAGCGATAATGCTTGTAAAAGCATCTGCTTCATAAAGGAGAGAAACCTACATTATAAACAAAGGGAGTTCCCAAAAAGGCCTGCCACCCTGAACCCTCACTGGCATTTCAATTTTCAAGTCAGAGCAAATATTGCCGCTTTGTATCTTTTCCCTCCCAAATTAAAAATGATCTGATTTGCATCCAGGAAATCTCTTCAAGACTGTATCCTCCCTTTTTCTCTCCTCTCCTCTCCTCTCCTCTCCTCTCCTCTCCTCTCTCTCTCTTTCTCTCTCTTTCTCTGAAATGATTTCTAGTATTTACCTCTTCTCCAGCATTTGATTGTCACTGCTGAATGGAAACAGTATTGACTAATCATGGCTTTGATTTTGATCCTTGATAAACCTGTGTCCACGCTCATCATAAGAATATCGTCCTATTGACTGATCGGTAGTCCAGTGTTGGCGGCATATGTCCTGCCCTATCCTGACCCACCTCAGTCTTCAGTGTTGCAATTTGTATCTATGTACACCAAAACACAAATGATTTTGTTAATGGGGAAATTCAGAGCCAGACCAGGGAGAGATGGAAAAATCCAAAGGACGGTATCATGGGACTAGAAGTCAGGAGCCTGCGGTCCTGAGTCTAAACAACTTTTATAAACAATGGAAGCAAGACAGCTTCTTTGTGTATGTGTCAGTCTTCCAGCTATAAAACAGGCATGAGATCTGCTCTAATCCACCTTAAAAAGTAAGTCATATTGAACTGATGTTTTATTTGTTTGATTTTAGAGACAAAGTCTCAGTATGTCACCCAGGTTGGCTGTGAACTGATCATGCCACCTCAGCCTCCCAAGAGCTAAGATGACAGGCATGTGCTGCCTGTAGTCTGGCACTACAGGTGTTTTATAAACTGTTGTTGTTATGGTCATGACACACGACAAGCAGTCTTTGGATAAGCTCAAAATGTTTCCAGAAAATCATGTAATTATAAAGATCAGTATTGTAGCTTTTGTCAGCTTCTCATCCAGCAAGTATTTTTTTAGTCTTTATTTGATCCAAGGCACAATCCTTTCTGCTATGGAAATACATTTGTCACAAGGCCTGGAGGAGGTGACGACCAAGTGTAGCCATAAGAAAAAAACAACAACAACAACAACAAAAAAAAAAAAAAAACAAAAAAAAAAACTTGAAACAAGCCACACCTAACTGCCAAATGGGAGGTGAGGAAACGCAGGGGATATATGCACAGACTTCATCATCCTGCCTTCTGGGCTTGAATCCTGCTTCTGCCGCTGATTAGTTGTGTGACACTGGGCAAGTTATTTAACTTCTTTATGCCTCCATTTCCACATCTGTAAAATGAAAATGATAACTATAATCATTAACAGCCGCCTGTAATTATAAACCTCACAGGTTTTCTGTAAACATCTTAATACAGCTATAATTTTAGAACAGTGCCTATACATACATACAATACAGTTAAGGTCACAGGAATCCAGATATAGGTTTGAAGTTCAAAGGAACCATACCCCAGACTTTTAATGGATTAGAAGCCACCTTCTATGTCAAATTCCTCCTGGCCAAAGCCTTGCTTCGGAGATGTCCACAGATCTCCCATCTCTCCATCTCTATAGACTGACATTTACATTTTTCTTTAAAGTTGTGCTGCCTTTTGATTTGAGAGAAAAGCAAACCCTTTAAAGACAGATCTAAACCTACCATCACTAGAACTGTAATGTTTCTGTCAATGAGAAACTAGACCGCTCTTTGTGATAACTGAGGCATCCCATCATGTTCTCATGAAATTCTGGGGCTCTGCCTGGACAAAGAAGAGCCTGGCACAGAGAGAGTATGAGGAGCTGGTTAATATGCAGCTGGACCTGCCCCAGGGGCAGGAAAGAAATGGTTCCGTTGCACTGTCCAGCCCCCGGTACCCACACCTTCACGGGTGACTAGATTCTAAGTGTAGAGGATTCTGGATAGCTCACAGGGTGCTAGTTCCTCTGGTTCTGCTGTGGTATTGGTGACTCCTTCAGGACTCCCCATGCTCCTCTGCTCTCTGCTCTCTCCTGAACTCTACATTGAAAAAAAAGGCTGAAATAGCTAAGGAATAAGACCAAAATGGGTCCTAAAAGATCTGTCATCTAGCTCCCTGCACGACTTATCTATATTATCTGAGGTTCAAAGACAAGAGAGATCTGTGTTTTGATTTCTTCTTCTAGCCCTTTCTTCTCGACGAGTATTTGTTCTTAATCATAAACACAATCTAGGCTGTGCTTTGGGCCAAGCAGAAATGGAGCAGTAGCCTCGAAACACCAAGGTCAAGATCAGAATGCCCATGAGGAACAGAGAAGCTGACTAAGCGCAGCCTGTGCCTCAGCTCCTGGTTAGGAAGTTTTACATTAGAAACATTCTCTGCTCTGACCATAGCCTGCTGAAGTTGAATGTCCCCCAAGAACCCACTTGCTTCAGTCACAATTGTGCTGCTGCTAGGAGCTAAGGCTTAGTAAAAAGAAGTTAGGTCATTGAAGTCATGCCTTTAAAGATCTTAGCATGCCCACCTCCATTTTTGTTTCCAAGCCCAAGTATGAGGTAAACAGTTTTCCTCGACCACCCACTTCCACTGTAATATGCTGTGCTTTCACGGGCACAAGGCAATGGACCAAGTCATAGTGTACCAAAACTGTGAAGTAAAATAAACCTTTCCTCTTTTTCAATTGGCTTAGCTCTGATATTTTGTCATAGTCATGAAAGGTTGAATAGCAATGTATCTCAAGAACACATGCTAAATAGTAGTTACTACACGTCATCTATGAGGACATGCCTTTCACAGGAGGCAGGATTGAGTCCTGAGGAAGGCTGGCTCCCAGACTTTTTTCTGTGCCCTACCTTCTTTCTCTGCTCAACAGACTCATCCACTCGTGGTTGCCAGTTCCAACTATTTGATGATGGCTCAACTTTTCAGCCCCAAACCTCACCCTGGAGCTCTAGAAGCCAATATCTATTGTTCTTTGGGGTGTCTTGGCTTGGAAGTCCCATAAACTCTCCAAGGGTCCCATTGAGTCTGTTACCTCGGTGATCTCTCACATCTCCCCACCGCCCTCTGCTGGCCGGAGCACCAAATCGCTCTGAGATTCCTGCTGCCAATTTTGCTCACTTCCAAATCTCTCTGCTTCCAGGGGTTCTCAAAGAAGAAGCCTGACACCTGATACATTGTATCTGGTGTTCCCTTCAACACCATCTCATCCTAAAGGGTGACGCCCTCACTGCTTTATATGACATAAGTGCTGTGACCTGGTCTCTGCCTACACCTCCTGTCTCCCTTTACCCTCCATCTCTTCAACACAGACAGTTCACAGCGCTCAGAGCTTATTGTCACTCCTTGGTGTCCATATTTTCATCCACTCCAGCCCCTGTGTACCCTGCTTACTCTTCGCCTAAGACATGGTTGAACCTAAAGAGTTCTTTTCCTTGTTCCTCAGCTCCTAGCAACACACCACTTGTGCCAGAAGTCCTCAGAACTACCCAGAGCCTGCATTGTCCTCCGGCAGTGCACCTGCAAAGCCTCTCGGTTGAAGAGCCACTGGTTTCTGTAATTGCCATTTCTTCGGGGTTTGGTTTTTAAACAGTCTTAGGTAGCCGGAGCTGGCTTCAAACTCAGTATGCCACAGAAGCTAACCTTGAACAGTTCACCCTGCTGCCTCCACTTCCTGAGGGTCAAGATTAGAGATGTGAACCACCAACCCTTTCTTGTAACTGTCATTTCATTCCTGGAGAGAAAGAATTAAAGTAAGGAATGCTAAAGCAGACAGAAGTAACCAACAGGAAGACTGTGGGTAGAACACAGAGCCCTCTCCTTTCTTGGTTGCCCCCTTACCTACCCACTACACTAAATCAGGAAAACCAGTCATTGCATCCGAGCTCAGACATCACATGTCGATAAACAGATTTGGGACTCTTTTAAAATGGTGGCCCTTCTGTGCCAGGCAATTGCCAGAAGGTCCTGAGATTGCAGTCTCTGCTTGCTTTTTATTATAGAACAGCACCTTCCCCAAGCCCATGTCATCATGGGGGTGACTAGAAAGAAAATTACGTTCTCCCATAGGAGCAGTTTTTTACAATTAAAGGCTGTACGCTTGACAAAGGCCTTGACTTCATGTAATTAGTAGACATAAACAAAAATATTTCACAAAAGCAAGGATTCGAGTAACTCTAAATTTCTATTATTCTCTCAAATAATAAAACCCACCAAGCATTATAAAGGAGAGGGTACCTGAGGTAAACACACACTGATTACTGATTGCCTATAATGTGCCATCAAAGTCCATTAAAATATAGTCACTGTGCTATAAATTAGAATCGGAGGCTAACTTTAATGCGGTCATTACACAGTTAATTAACTATGGAGAAGCAGTGAAGGTGTCATGGTTAAGGCATGGTGCTGGGGAATGGAAAACCCAACCCCAGGCCTGCCCTTGCCCAATGAACTCTGTGAGGGCAGGGGCTGGGCCAGGTGAAGGTTGGACAGGGCCTGCACAGGGCATGGCTCAAAGGCATTCTTAGCATGAACACACCAGCTTTGAGTTGGCACTTTGGGCAAGTAAATCTCTTTGAGCCTGTGGATCTACGTTTGCAAAGCAAACAAACCAAATGTATAGCATCTTCTAACTCTGGAATTCTAAAACTGCCAACTTAGAAATCAGGACTTTCTAAGCAGGGTTGACTGCCAGCTTGGTGGACTGCAGTGAACAAAGCTGCCAGTATTCAATTCAGAGCTTCATATAGTCCCTGCTTAGAGCAGAGGCTTGACCACGTGAGTGGATTTGGCTATTGAGATTCAGAAAACTTGATAAACAGGGGCTTGTAGATGACCTGTATATAGTGTGTGTGTGAGCATGTGTGTATGAGTGTGTGTGTGTGTGTGTGTGTGTGTGTACATATCATAAGCACGTGTCTATATTGAGACTTGTTTCCCTGATCGTTTCATGGGTCCCAGGCACCCACCATGCTGTGAGGAGCCCAAGCGCCATGGAGAAGCCAACATGGCAGAAAACCAAGACATTCTGACAGACAACCTAGGTGAGCTGCCAGCCTCCCCAGAGCACCAACCACTAGTCATGTGACTGGGGAGCTGGGTCAGTGCAGCTCAGTGGATCCCGCAGCTGGCAGCAGTGCCCGCTGCATTTGTACAGTAGAAGCTCCCTGCTGAGTGTAGTCAGCCTGCAAAGCCATGGGATACAATAAAAACGGCTGTTTCAAGGCAGTAAGTTTGTGGGGCAGGATTCAACATAAGAACAGCTAACCACATAAGGACATGAAGAGTTTAGGGAAATGAAACTATCTAAGAAGTACTAGATGATGATGATGATGATGATGATGATGATGATGATGATGATGATAATGATGATGATGGTGTGTGTGTGTGTGTGTGTGTGTGTGTGTGTATGTGTACCAATACTGTGCATGTAAACTTTCCTAACTGAAAAACATTCAAAACATTCCAACGATGTTTAAAAAAAAAAGATTGAAAATACTGGCAGAGTGCTCAGTAAATATTTACCATAGATAAAGATGTTTCCTCTTCCTGAAATAAATGTCTTTCCTCTCTACCTTCTCTTGAATAGGTAAGGCTGTTCAAATGTACAATCGAATAAAGGTCATCAGGAAATGATGCATGCTGTTCAGTCATCCTACCCAACACTCCACTGACAGCTCTCAGAGCAGTGCCTCACTCCTGATAACCTATAAAAAGTCACCAGAGCAGAAGCTAAACGAGGTATGTAGTGAGCCAGAACTTTAGTACTTTAATACACACACACACTATACAGATACAGTGTGTGTGTGTGTGTGTGTGTGTGTGTGTGTGTGTGTGTGTGTAATGTCCCATTGACATTCCAAACTAAGAGTAAGTGAACAAATATATATGAGACTGTGGGCTTCCTTGGGGTAAATTGTTCTTTCAGCTTGGCATAACAAAATTCCACCGGTGCAGTAGCTTATAAACAATAGATTTTTATTTCTCTCAGGTTTGAAAGCTGAAAAAAATTCAAGATCGAGGCACAGGAGGGTTTAGAATCTGATGACCCCATTTTCTGGTCTGTAGACACCACCTTTTTACTGTGTCTTCACATAGGAAAAAGGGGCAAGGTAGTTTCCAGGTGGTGAATGAAGCTCTTTTGTAAAGGCACAGCTATTGTTCCATTTGGGATGCCCTCAAGGGTTTATCTAATAAAAGCATGGTCCTCAGTATGGGGATGTTCAGAAACAGTGTAATCATAAAGAGATAAAAACCTAATGTTCATAGGTCACTGAGAACAATCGTCCTGGAAAGGGATTAACGTGGTTCTCACAT